TCTTTTCGTTTAAAGTTTTTGGATTAGGTGATTTTAAGGACATTTTCTTCTTGAACTTCTTGCACTTACAAATTTGAATGGGTTCGAGTCTTCGTACTTAAAAGTACTTCGAACTTCGTAAGTTAAAAGAATGATTATATAGAGGACAAACATACTTGGGTGCAGATTGGTCCGGCCCCACAGGATAATGAAAAACATTGATGTTTCAATGAATTCCAAACATGTAAATATTACAGCTTTGCTGCTAAAATATATATTGTTTAACTTGCATAATCATTGTAAATGTGAGAGCCCTGTAATTAACTAAATATGAAATTAGACTAGTAAAATACATTTGTGTCAGCTTGGAGTTATTATGCTAACTCTAAGATCGCATTAGCGGTGGCACGTGCATTGGATCGCTCGATTCCCTACAATATGTTTGAGTTGGGCGGTGCTGGTATACGTGTCATGTTCGTGAACGTGCGCCGTCAACAGGAACTGGTCAGCTCCAGGCTGCATTATTTTTTGTCCTTAAGGTTATTTTCATTTTCGATCTCTTTGACTGGATTTTGGTGTTACATTGCACATTCTCGCACAATCGAAACAATAAAACTATGTAACTAGGGAATTGTATTGTGAACCTGATGATACTGTGACGCCTTGGACTAAGCAAATAGCTTCACTTTTAATTTCTTTATGTTGATGTTCAAAAGTGCCTTCCTGGTCTAATTGAAATAAATGATTTTGACTTTGACTTTTTCAAAAATTGCTAACTAAAATACTGAATTACACACCTAATTCGCTCCGCTTGCTCACTATAACCTCCATTATGCCATTCTAACACATTCGCCTACCATGTAGGGCCATCAAATGTCTCACAAAAGCCACAATTCCGTTGTAATATTGAATAATTAGGTGTGCAAATTAGAATTTTTGTGATACGGTGAGTAATATTGTTTCAAAATGCGTGTATCTATGGTTCCAGTTCGATTTATGCTGTAAATAAATAAATGAGGTAAAAAGCCATCAGATTTTTATAAATATTAAATATTTTTTAAGACAACATGTTTCATATTCAAATACGTTTATTAATTGTAAACACGTTTGGGTAATCCAATAGTTTGTTGTACAGTCAATTATTTGATATGCAGTAGGTTATTAATGAAGAAAGGAGAACGGCAGATTTTGTACCGCTTCGCTAAAAAAAGATTTGTCATTAAAAAATTGGGTCATTATAGAACCTCCTAAGTACGTTATATTAGCATATTTAATAGATTTTTAAAACTTGGGAAACCCTAGAAAAACTGATATTCAATAATGATAAAAATCAATCCACTATACGTAAAACGAACCGCGATTGACGTTTACAAAGTTGCCATGCGTAAAGATGAAATCAGAGCATATTGAATTTCGCTATTTCATAAACATATTTATTTTAATATCTATCAATGAAATATTTTCCTTTCCATTTCAAACATTTTTATAAGTAAATATAAAAATCTACATCCAATCTAAATCTACGTTTACATGGATTATTAATGATAATTAACATTTTAACAAACTTGAATATTATGGCAATGTTGAACTGGCATTTGTCTTGATGACATTGACAATTAATTTGTCAATACTGGCGCATTGCTGTTTGTTTCAAATGCGATGTTATGATGTGTTTGTTGAATTTGAAGTTATTTTATTCATCTGGTGATACGTTGAGTTTGGCAACCGTTCCTCCGTAGCCCAAATTGGTATTATTGGCATCATTGTTGTGACAATTGCGAAAAGACACTTATTTACATTATTTTGTGCAGTGTGTTGTTATTTGTCGCGATGATGAATTTACAGTGTATTAATTGCATTCAGAGTTTGTCGCACATGAGACGGCATGCTCTAGAAAATGAGAGTGAAGATTAGACGTGGTCAACAATATCCCAATGTGGACTTATCCTAGAGATGTAAGTACCTAGTTTACCCATAACATATCGAAAGTCACCATGTTGCCTGAATAAAAGAAGGCGCATAATGTTATCTACCCATAATGTATCATTTTATTCTTTTTATTCTAGATCTCTCCTACCGACCATATTTGCAATGCTTGCTGGCAATTAGCAATGTATCGGGATGTTGCTGAAAGTATGTCCAGCAAACAAATTGGTCACTGGCATGTTTGTGTCGTATATGGGTGATTCATTGCAATGATAAGGTGACGCAGGGTTTTAATTGAAGGCGCCAACAAACAGGAGTAAAGACTGGCTCATATAGTATTTGATTGGATTCAGCCACAAGAGGTAATAAAGCATAATTTAACCATACTATTATATATACAGTGTAATCTAAAGTCAATATCATATTCTAATAATATTACTTATTTTAGCTTACTTCCCATGATGAAGATCATGTCCATACTGACTGAGAGACCGTACAAGAGTCGAAACTATAAAACCACAACCTGACATACCACCTCACAGTGTTCACTATCAGGAAGTAATGTATTATGTAAACATGGACTAAGCCTCACTTTAACATTGCCATTTGTAGAACAGATGAGGCCGGATGATGTTGTTCGGCTCTCAAAGCTTCAACAGGTATGCATTCTCAATATAATGTACCTACATAATTATGTATCTATGTGGAGTATATAAGCGGTTTCTAATAGGTTTATACTCATGTTATAATTATAATTTATTAATTAGCATGCTGTTTGAGCTCCTATGATCTGTGTTATACGAATAACTATAATAAATGTTATAAAATGAAGTAATGTAATCAAATATTTATTTTTATCTTTTCCATTTTAAGATAGGGAATCAGACTTATTATTAAAATATAACACTAAAGGAAAAAAATGTACTTTTGTTTACTTTATTTACAGTTATCTTACTTGTTTACAGATATCAGCAATTGATGTCTGCTGTAACTATGACACGGCCTGTTCTCTTTTTAGATGAAGTACTCCTAGAAACAACCTGAATACAATGAAATAAAAGTATTTCAAAATAATACATTTGTTTTATTTTAACCTAGTAAGTAACTATATATTCCATCTTGATAAAAGTGATTTTAAGAATCAATCTATAAAATAAATGCCATATTTAATTTAAATAGCTTTAGTTTTATACCAAAAATGTTCATTTTCATTTTACATTTTCTTTAGTTGTAATGTGGTGGCCCAGAGGTTTAAGAAGCCCGCTTCTCATGCATGAGAGTGCGGGTTCGAAACCTACCAACGGCAAAGTACCTTTTGTCCAATGTGTCTTTTTTCCGAGTTATTGGTATATTCAATAATCTAAGAAAGTACAAAGACACCGCTGACGAATGGTGAAGGAAAACATTGTGAGGAAACATGGGCTTATAATTTCTTATTATAAGTTTGAATTACCAACCCACATTGAGCTAGTATGGTGATTAATGCTCAAACCTCCATGCGAGAAGAGGCTTCGGTCAGCAGTGGCCACTTATAGACTTAATGATGAAAATGTGATGATTCTACTAATTTGACTTACTTATTAGAAATTAATCCTTACATGCGTGCTAAGCAACCAGTTTTCGAAGAAATACTTTCTCAAAGAGCTAAGCTAAGTTAAATCGAATTAATTGAGACCCTTGAGACTATCTACCTGCAAGATTCAAGGTGAAGTGAGACATTAGTTTTATCATATCCGCCACAAGACTTCCACTGCTAAATGTAGGCCTTCTACCCAATGACAGTCGCTTACATTATGAATTTGCATTTTCGTAGGCACCTAAGAAATGAAAAAGATTGTGAGGCATACTCTTTAAAACTCTATAGGTGCATCATACTTGCTGAATTAACAGGATCATTCCTAATTGCCTTTTGCGCTGCGACGCACCATAGGTTATTTTTTGGGTTTCTAAATTCTTGTTGTGTGTCGTAGCAAAATAAATGGTTTTTCTTTCTTTCTAATAATACAAAGTGTAATAGTCACTTGAGTAGCGAGCAGTATTTTTAGATTTTTGTTTTTTGTAAATAAACAACCACATGAGAGCACATTGACATTTTTCAGTTAACTGTCATTTGTCATTTGTAATAGATATTTTGCTTACGGTGGCTCTACACTTGACGTTGCGTATTTGTTGTGTTCGGCCAAAAAAGAACATGTTTGGAGGATTTATTCTTCTTTGTTTGCTATATATTTGCACGCCATTACATATAGAGATACTATTTGGACGCCATTTGTACGTAGCCTACAAATATTTGGACAAATGAAGCGACTACGCAATGTCAAGTGTGGTACCACCTTAACATACCTTTTGCACATTTTCAAAGTGAAATAACTTTGAACCCCAAGTTCTAAAAATATGTAATTTTTTTCTAAACTTCATAATAAAAATATCTATCGTTCAGACTATTCACTTGGTTAAAACAATGACTAATACAAAATTTTATAGCGGTACAAAACTTCCATACAAACCTGCCATTCTCCTTTGTTCGTTTATATTTCTATATAGAAGTGTAGTTTAAAATTCCCCGTATTAAATAGGTTTTTTATGTTAAGAATTCTTTAAGAATCAATTTTCCTGTAGATTTTATTATAAATGTTTGTATACTCAAATTATTCGACTCCACAAAATGTAAAGAAAGTAATAGTCGTTGTTTCAATGGTAGGATCTGAAAATAGTAGCTTTTTAGTCGTATTGGGAGATTTCTCACTGTGAACTGGCAACATTTTTTTAATTGACCGCCACCCGTGAGCAAATCGTTCGCTCGATCTCGCTCTGTCGATCGAGTCCGGTTGTGGAAGCCATTTTATTCTTGTGAATGTGACAAAGTAGTTTTTGTGATTTTCCGTACATTGGAATCGTGTCAATGTGTACCTGCATTGAGTGTATTTCGTGACGTGTGATCGTGATATCAAAACTGAGAATGTACGTGTTTCAAATTGGGTTGTGTTGACCTGCCCCGTTTCTTACGCGGTCGCACAGCAGGCATCGATTAGTGCAGCAAGGCGGCCTCTAATAACGGCGAATCGAGGGTGTACGACCAGTTTGTGGGGTGCGCCATGGGCAACAATGCTGCCACCGCCAATAAGAAGGTGGACGCCGCCGAAAGCGTCAAGGAATTCCTCGACCAAGCCAAAGAAGATTTCGAGGAAAAATGGAAGAAGAATCCTACCAACACCGCCGGACTGAACGATTTCGAGCGAATAAAAACCTTAGGTACCGGCTCGTTTGGTCGAGTCATGATAGTTCAACATAAGCCGACGAAAGAATATTATGCTATGAAAATATTAGATAAACAGAAAGTTGTAAAATTGAAGCAAGTTGAGCATACGTTAAATGAAAAACGAATCCTTCAGGCTATCAACTTTCCTTTCCTGGTGAGCCTCAAATTCCATTTCAAGGACAACTCGAACTTGTACATGGTTTTGGAGTATGTGCCAGGCGGTGAGATGTTCTCGCATCTGCGCAAGGTGGGGCGCTTCTCTGAGCCGCACTCGCGCTTCTACGCGGCGCAGATCGTGCTAGCGTTCGAGTACCTGCATTACCTGGACCTTATCTACCGGGACCTTAAGCCTGAGAACCTCCTTATCGATTCGCAAGGCTACCTTAAAGTAACAGACTTTGGTTTCGCAAAGCGCGTCAAAGGCCGTACGTGGACGCTGTGTGGTACACCTGAGTACCTGGCGCCGGAAATCATCCTTTCCAAAGGTTACAACAAGGCCGTCGACTGGTGGGCGCTCGGAGTCCTAGTATACGAAATGGCGGCTGGGTATCCGCCGTTCTTCGCCGACCAGCCTATTCAAATTTATGAAAAAATTGTCTCAGGCAAGGTCCGTTTCCCCTCGCACTTCGGCTCGGATCTCAAGGATCTGCTCCGTAATCTATTGCAAGTGGATCTGACTAAGCGTTATGGTAACCTGAAGGCAGGTGTCAACGACATCAAAGGCCATAAATGGTTCGCAAGTACCGATTGGATCGCCGTCTTCCAAAAGAAGATCGAGGCTCCATTTATCCCGCGTTGCAAGGGTCCGGGTGACACCAGCAACTTCGACGATTATGAGGAGGAGGCATTACGTATCTCATCGACTGAGAAGTGTGCGAAGGAGTTTGCCGAGTTCTGAGCGCGTAGTTGGTGCCTGCGAGCGGACACTCCCGTGAGTAGGTGTTTTTAGTGAATCTTCCGTGACATTGTGGTCGTGGAACGGTGACGTGTGCGTCTCTTTGCCACAGCTTTGGGCGATAATAGACGCTGAAGCGGCCCCTGGCTGGCACCCCATGTGGATCAAATTTGGAGTGTAGGCAAGATGATAGTAGAACTGATTTCCGATATTTCGGTGGCGTTCATTTGCTTAGTGCCCTTTCAAGTTGACATAAAATAGAGCAGGTAGAGGAGCAAAGTGATCCTTGTTCTGGTGATATCCTGAGTGTTACCACCGGCACACTGTACCCGCAGCATTCTCTCGGCCCTCACTGTCTTGCTACCTGATCGTTCATATGGTACATGGTAGTTCGCTGTCGGTAGCATTGGGATGTGGTGAGCTTTATTATTATATAATATTTTTTATTGTTTTTACGGAATCAAGAATAAAATTTTGTAATATGTAATTATGATCAAATTTTTCTTATTGCTTTTAAGATTCACAATCGGACTCTCAATTTCGATTTTATCTAATTACATCACTTAACCATCAACTCGGAGCAATTACGACTACCATCACTAATATTTTAGTAGATTATTATTACTGAATTGAATTTCCTAAAACTATGTATTACTTATCTTGATGGAATGTTATATTTAATTATACAATATAGGTTCTAATTAATTGACATTTCGTTATTGGTTTTTATTTATAGAGTTAATATTGTTGTATCAGTTGATATTTTAACTAAGGAACTATAACTACATCAAAATGTTGAAGAGATTAATTTATTGTATATGTATTCATTGTAGTTGTGTTCACATGTGCAATTTGACCTGTGTTTGTGATCTGATGTGAGGTTTCATTTGAATTTAAGTGTAATTTGTATTAGTTCCTTATTTTGTAGGTTTAAGTGTAGTTATTTTAATTGTGGAGTCAAACCATACACATGTGCATGAATACATTTCTCTGAAGTCAGCCTCTAGAATCAACTGTGCTATGTGACCTGGCCTTATTGCTAGCATCAGTTCATAACAAAAGCAATAAATGTTGTTCACTTAAACATATTCCCATTTGCAGCAATATTTCTGTCCCGTTCAATGTTTATAGTTTTATACACTACAACTTGGTATTCAGCACAAAGTAAGACATGAGAGAATTTTTGTATATGTGAGATATTGTTTTGATTATGAATAGGAATATGTTTAAAGGTACGTAGTGTTAGATCAATGGGGCGCGGCGTCGAGTCGCGTCGATATCTTGTCATAGAGACTGATGTTATCAATAAGCATGTGTATAATGAGAATGGTAGCATTATCATCAGGTTCAGCTATTCATTTTGGTCCCACCATTCTTTGGAGTGCGTGATACAGCAATGATTAATTGGCAATGTTTACTATAAAGTTTGTTAGCTATTAGATGTAGGACTTTGAATTCAGGCTGTACAAATAAATATCTAGTAATTCGTAGTGCATTTTACATTGTGTACATTGTGAGCGTCTGTGGTAATAGTTATTAGGTTGAAATCATGGGAAGGTTACTTAACCGCTCTGTGCACATTCATATTTATTATAAAATGTTACTGATGTGACTTGAGCTATGTCTGATGCATGCATATGATTGTCGTCTTTGAGTTAGTACTGTCCTCATTCTTACAATTGGAACTGGTCAACTTATGATAATAACTACTTGTAAAATCATATCAAATTGTACACTAAATTAATAATTTTGAGTCAATGTATATTGTAAATGATGCATTCTCAAATATTTTCTATGATCAATCAATGTCAAACTTCAATATTATGAATTTGTATGAAATTGCTTACTTATACGTTTTTTACTAAGCACTGTGCTATATATAAACAATGTCTTGTGGTGGAATGTCTATTGACACATTTTCCTTTAAAATCATGTTATTTTGTTGTCATAATTTGAATTATTTAATTGAAATCAAAGACCTATTATTTTATTTGGTGCCATAAATATTTTCTTGGTAATGGTCCCACTGTGTAAATACTTAGATGATATTGTTAATATTTTTATTCTATTTGAAATCATTGCCTACTTCTATACAACAATTGCTGTGCTATATTGGTACTCTTATCGCATATTATGTCAGTATTAAACTTTGCACCGTTTATGTAAGTCGTAAAGTAAGTCTCGAAGTATCAGTGAATAGTAGAACAATACTTACGTAGCTAGTCACTTCATACTTGTTAATTTTTTAAACTAAATGCCTTTTCGGAAGTGGCAATGTTGAATGCTTGGTGTCCAAACACTTTAGATATTTATTAAGAGTTAGCTAGTAGAATTTTTAGAATAGTTCATTTCGGAGTTTCGAAAGTGAGAGTATACCAAGTGTAAGGGAAAATATACTACTGTTCCAACTGGCATCATTGAGTCGAAGGCGAACTGTTAATTAATCATTGTCAGATTGCTTTCGACACATTGTTCCGAACGACAGTCGTTTTTTAGTCCGAGATATTTAATCTGTTTTCTACTGTCTGAGCAGTTCGCCTGTCGAGTAAGGAATTATTTGCTACTTTGTTAGATAGCGACATTCACCAGTTAGACATTGTTTAACGATTCTAAAAGTTGTTTCATAAATTCGCGTAATATAACTCTCCTGCAGTTTGGTAGTGTCAACGCAGCGTTTAATTTCTAAATATTGTATTGACTAATAAGAGTATCTGATGTGTACCCTTCGTTACAGTCATTGTATATAACTGTAGAGTGATCGTATCCCCAGTAATTAGGAGGTTCGGTATCAGCTTTGATATCCGCGATCTTTCATTCCAATTAGCTTCACAACTTGCTCATTGACACAATATGAACGTTCTAATGTGAACATTTTAAGCCATTTTGGATATTATAACATTAGTGTGACCGTATGTGTATTTGCGAACCGTCGTCTTTTTATATCTGTGCGTTAATAAATATTCAAATGTTCACATCTAGATCTATTATATCGAGTGCCTATAGCATTGAAAGTTCAAGTGTAAAAAGTCAGTTAATTTCAGTAATTATTTGTCACCATGTATTGATCTTCCATAAAATTACGATGAAATTAAAATATCGATGTAACAGTAAACAATGGTTTGATTTAATAAGTGTAATATTCCACTGTACATGATTATGTTTATAGGAACATGTGTGTTTGACACATCTGCTTTCCACCGTATGCTAGTTGGCGTACGTTGAAGATAAAATATCCGGCGAGGTGTACGTATGTTGTATTGTTTGACGTTGTTCGCACGTTTGGAGGAGCACGGCTGTAGCACGTGGGGCGAACGAGCCGGTTTAATACGTGGCTTCCTAATAAAGCGGAATGCTCCGTCGCCCGTACGCTCTCCATCATTGCCAGACAGATAAAGATTTGTTTTATCGCTGTCTCTACTAGATGCAATTTACTATTATTTTCGTGGCTACCACTGCTATATCACAACCATATTTGTCAAACAAATGTGTCTTACTTATAATTTCAAGGTTCGTCTGCTTCTTGTATAACTAATTGATCAGTTTTGTATATCAGTACCGTACCTAAATATCTGCACGATTACATCATTCATGTATTATAAACGTAAGGCTAATCTAATCTAATTAAATTAAAAACATAAGTTTTTAATTGCGTGTCCGTCGGTAATCTCTGAGTACCAGGTTTTAAAATTAACCACTGATTTGTATCTACAAAGGTAAATAAACGAGTCAAAGGCATCATATAAAATCATTCGGCTAAAACGAATTTTCCATTTTTCGCCCACGCTCATGTTAATTCCCGTACACTGAGTCAAAACAAAATGTTCTAAAAATCTGTATTTTATGATTGTTTGAAATGCTGTCGCACACGCTACGGTGATGTGACGCAGACAAATATTTTTACATTACGAATGACATGTTACTATTAAGCCTTTGCTGTAAATAAGGTAACTTTAACCACATGAAATTCCTTTTTATCTCTATATGCACGTAGGTGGTGGCTTCTGATTCACAGAGTTCGTACCAGCAGTATAACTACCTAGGCATTATGCTTATGTACTTTTAGATCAAGCGTCTACTGACATTGAAGCAAAATTTTGTATGAAACATGTGGCTTAGGAATTCAATAACGAAGTAGTTTAAAATAAATGGTATCATATGATTTGCATATGTTATCTAGAGTGGTATAATGTTAGTGTTTATCTTCCAAGAATATAATAATATGCTGCATTAGATAACCTTTCGATTACGACTAGATATTACCAATTTAGCATGAACGCAGTATTTGTTCCTAGGTACCCATTCAATAGTGGGGTAGTCTTTATATTTCTGAGCCATTAAAACATCTTTTAGTTAGGTAGGTACGGGTTTAGTCCTTATCAAACTTCGTCTACTTATCTAAAGATAATGTAGGAATATATTATCTTGCTAAAGATATACCTTTTCATTGAGTAGTGACTTAGTATTAAAATCTGTAGAAACAAGTCCTGAAGAAGATGCCTTTGCAGTACTGAAATGTCTATGATGAAAATGTTAGAAAAATTTTCTAACTCTCGGACTATGTTACGGGGAAGTAGAATGGCATTCCCATCAGGTACAATAAATTGATTTTTAGTTGGAAATGGACTTAGTAATATGTGCCAAAACCTCCAACCAGAAACCATTAATTTTGTCAACGGTCCATCGCTTGGATTTACATTATTATCTTTGCCATTTTAAGCTGAATAAATGTATTGTCTTTCATATTTGTGGATGGTGCCAAAATCTATAAGAATGACCCATCGAATGTGTTTTATAGTCAGCAATATCCGCAAGGAACAGCGTTTTCAAGTATAAATTCTGTCTATCTTTAATATACCTTATTAATATCCGTTCGCTACTCAATAATATCCAAGATGTTGCCATTTATAAGACCTATTACATAAGGCATACAGTTGTAAAACAGACTACAATATATCTACTAAGATGTTGCCGAGCTAAAGTTGCTTTAATGTGTCAAATATTGA